TATTGACCACTGATGTACAGCTGATGCAAATGTATAGGAGATAGCTCTTGTTTATTTTTACATCATATGTTTTCTTTCTCCTTTCATGATTTGGCCTACGGATCCCAAATTTGACAACATCCTCTGTGTGTGCTCCATAATGCAAATGTGCATTGTTTGTTTGTGTGTTTTTTATAAGCTACAGTGTGTTTTGCTAAGTACAGGTAGCTGATTTCAAAAAGAAAGCAGCATTAATAACATCTTTGAAACACATGGAAACATTAAATGCTTCCAGCTTTCATGGCTGCAAAAGCCACCGTGTGAGAGAGACTAATTTTTCTGTGGGAGAAACATAGCAAGCTCAGGTTCAAACTGCATCAGCATTAAGAAACAGTATTAATACTTACAAATCAGTTGAGGTTTAAAAGTAAAACCCAACTTTAGGTTAGAGCCAAAGGGTTCAGGCTAGCGTTGCTGCGGTACTGTAACACAGTAGCTTTAGCATAAGGCTCATGCATAGTACTAATTCTGGAGTGTTATCCAAACATCGGAAACAGCAGTTTGGGAACTAAAAGATTATGAACACTTCTTGGCCTTCCTCAGCAAAGGGAGGCTGTCATGGAGCTGGCTTGATTGTCAAAGGTCACGTGATGGCACCTGAGGTACTGTATCTCCATGAACCTGTGAAACTCCCTTTGCTGTTGAAGATTGTGTGATATGGTTGAAAGCTCTGGAAAAAGCCAAGGTGTAAATCCTTGAGTTAATATTGTTTTTTTAAGTCAAATATTTGTTCATTTTGGATAAACCATATTTAAACAAAGACAAAATATGAAAATAAACTAAATATGGAAGGTAATTCTGAGTCAAATGTCTTTTTTACTTTACTGTTTGAATAGCATACAGTCACTTATGAAAGGAGATGGAAGGAAATGATTTAACTCTGTGCTATAGCTCAGCAGACACACACGCTTTACAAAAACAGCAGCAGGACACCCTGTAAGGAAAAAGGAAAACCCTGAATGGCAATGACCTGTAATATTTACCTATGATGACTCCTGAACGGTTCACTCCCAGCGACAGAGGGCCCCTATGACTCAGAGACTGATGTTCTTGTTGCTTCTGATGCAGAACAGATGACAACGACTTTTTGGAAATTTATGGCCGAGGACTAAAGCACCCTGCATTCAGTAGCTTCATGGTCAGTCAACATATTTAAACACTAATATAGCCTTAAATTACATATGACAAAAGCATGTTTGTGTGGCTGCTTGACAGGGGTTTTTCTAAAGGATTGCACACAGCTTCACTGTTCAACAGCCACTGAGAGTCATTTGTTTGAAAAGAGGGTTAGGTGTTGATCTGCATTGTAAACATGTTGAAGAGAACTTCAGCCCATTAGCAACATGTCTGATTAGCTGATGAACAAATGCAACCAAAGCTGGTGTGGTCTCTTGGAAAATATCCATCAAATGTCATTTGCTCAGGGTCTGGTGGTGACTGGCAAGGTCCTGTTTACAATAACATTGGTGTGCAACCAAAATGCTTCTGAAACAAAAATAATCAGTCATTGATAATTCTGAGCCACTTTGTTAATTATGGCACTCGTTCTGTGAATTTCACTGAACTTTGTCAAAGGACAGAAGGAAATATCTCTGAGCACAACCAGAAATTATAACCAAAACACTTGTTGGATCTAATGACAGAACTATTTGCTTTTGATTCAACAAGCTTCTAGCTTATTATTGTGTCTCATGGACAAGCCATATATTTATCATTTAACTAAGGCGTTCATTATGTACATACTTCAGCTCAAGCCATCAAGCTCTTTGTTATCATTGTGTCATTATCCTTACTTCTCAGTCAGCATAAAATGTAAATGGATAAATAGCTTTAAAACTATAGCCAATCTGCTCTCTTAAAGGCCATATTTGAATTCAGAACCTCAAAACCCATAGAAATCAGCACATCTCAATTTAATTGCAAATGTTTTAAAATTGTAGAGCAGTGTAAACCAAGAAGCCCATGTGTGAAGTAAAGGCTTGTTAGTCATCCAGCAGATCATGGAAATGATCACAGAAA